TGTGTTCGTCTCCTCCAGAGTTAAAACAAATGATAGCAAAAGCAGCTCCTCCCCCCCCCCCCCCCCCGTTGTATCTGGCACTTTTACCATCCGGAATGTTTCTATTAACCGGCATCGGTCCCCATAGACAAATCTTATGGCGCCACGGTGGCTCGGAGATGTCTTGCCTGCCGGAGGAGCTCGCCATTGGGATGGTGGCGAGACGTTATGGGCCGTCCATAAATGACGTCACGCGATTTTGGACGATTTTTGACCGCCCCCCTCGCCGTCACAAAGTCAGACCCCCCCCCCTCAAATATGACGTTCAAAAGCTCTGCCCCCCCCCCAAATAAAAAATGCTTCAAATCGCTTTAAACTATTGTCATTGTAGTGCGTATTTAATGTGGCGCTGCACTCTGTTGAAGGAGAAAAAATTACAAGTCTATTTAATTGAGTAGAACGTGTTGTCTATATTTAAAGTTGCGCATTTTGATGTGACGTCACATTTCTCAACCCCCCCCCCCAGGTGCGTGACGTCATTTATGGACGGCTCCTTAACTCTCCCGCCTGGAATACAAAGGTGGTGGGGGGTTAATCCCCAGCCTGACGCCCGTTGTGTATTCACGAGTTGTGCGTCTCACTCTCCCCGTGGTCGCGTGAATTTTTCTCCGGATCCTCCGGTTTTCCCCTACACATTTAAAAGCGTGCCTTTAGGTGATTTGGGCTGCTATCAATGTCCACATGATGATAAGCCACTTAGTTGAGCTATTATCATTTGTGGCCAGGTCGCTTCTGGAAAATAACTACATCGCTCAGTGGGCTTTACCTGGTAAAATGAAAAAAAAACCAATTAAACTAGTTTTAGACAAATCTGAGACGAATCTTACCTCATCTGTATTCGGAAAAAATAAATTCCCGACAGCCATCGGGCATCTTGCAGTGCGTGCGCTTCACGTCAGATCCGTTTTGCCAGGGAGCTGTCGCTCACGGCAGTCTGTACGCAACTTCTGATTAGCAACGATTGGCTAACGTACGGTGCGAGAGAAGTTCAACATACACTACACTATACACTACATAATACACTATACACTATTAATACATTGAAAACTAAAGTTCAACATACATACACTACACATTATGCTAACTACACTATAAGCTACTAAATTGAAAACTAATTTATGTACAATTGGTTGTTGCGTTTAGTTTGTTGTCCTTCTCCACACCTCCGATGAGCCACGGTTGGCTACGTACGGTGCCAAAGAAGTTCAACATACAGTACAGTACTACTCTATCCTGTACACTCTAAACGGCCCCAATCAACTTAGTGTGGCTTGTCAGTACCTGATGTAAAAGAAAATATATAATTTCTTATATCACAGTTACAAAAAAAATGTAGGCTTAAGTTTATTTCTTGAAAAGGTGTATTGTATGTACTTGGACAATTTTCTGAATCATAAGTATGTATATATAACTCGCAGATAACCGGCATATTAAATGAACCAGCAAACTCTCCATTGGATACCGGAGATTTTTGCTGCGATAGTAATAATTTGAACATTTGATTCTTGCAATGATCCGTTACCCAAAATGCAATACGCGAGAATGCAAAACAGGAAGTCGCGGGGAAGTCAGCAGCCGAGCAGTTGTCCCCTAGAGTTCCCAGAGCCTGGGGGTTCCACTCCGGGTTTTATCTCCAACCCACAGAGAGACCTCATCGGAGGGTCGAGACGGACACCAATGCCTGCACATTCTACAAACGACGCGAGGGTCGCCCCTCGATCTACCAACGAACGTTCCCCGCCTCGCGACATTTCGCGTTAACGCAATTGACGAATAAATTATTAATGTAAAACACGAAAAGATAATTATTTTTTTCCCCGTTCACGTGGAAATTCACTTTGGGCACGTTGCAACGGAGACCGATGTAATAATGTGTTGAACTTCTTTCGCACACAAAGTGGCGTCGGTGGTGATGGTAGTTGTGGTGGTGATTGTGGTGGTGTTTGGTGATGGTGGTGATTGTAGTGGTGGTAGCTGTTGTGGTGTTTGGTGATGGTGGTGTTTGTGGTGATTATGGTGGTGTTTGTGGTGGTGATGGTGTGGGAAGCCGCGGCGCAGTGGTTAGTGCGTTGCGCTATGAACCCGACAGAGTTTGATTCCCGCTCACGGCCTCCCAACCCGACGACCTCCCAAACCAGTACCTGATGCCGTGTCTAGTAAACATCGCCAACTATAGAGACAAAGGCGGTCGGGCGTGGTGCTGTCCACCCACCCCATCGTGTGCTGTGCTGGCCTTCATAGGCGCTGCTACTCGCTAACAGCACTTTCCCCAACAGTCTTGTTCAGGCGACACAGAGGACCTTTGTTTTTTGGTGGCTGTGGTGGCAGTTGTGCTGTTGTTGGCGGAGGTGGCAGTTGTAGTTACAGGGGATAGTGATCATGCACAGCCAGAACTCCGAATCCCATCTCCAACCTCAACCACAACCCCAGATGTCAAGGCGTACCTCGGATGCTATCCCGAACCCCATCACATCAACAGATTTGTACGTAAAGCAAAGCTCCTATCTCCAACGCTGTCCATAGCAATACCCCGATCCCGAATGCTGACACTATTATATATTCCTCACGAATGCGTATCCCTAACCTTGCCTCTGATCCTACATCTTGAAATTAAATTGCAAAACCCCATCTTCAACCCAAACCCAATGCCTTGCATTAGCCGTGTGTCCAACCCAATCACCTTTGCCCAGTCCCTAACCTCCTCACTCTCTACCCCTAACCCCATCCCCAAATCCCCTCACTCTGCCCATACTCTTATCCCCTAATCCCTTCACTATAACCCTATCCCCTAACCCCGACTCATCAGCAGTAGTCACGGGCTGCTGCTCGTCTTGTGTCCGGGCGGACAGGAGCAGCGATGGCGCTGGAATCTCAACGCATTGACGGGGCAGGCGAGGGCAGCTGGGACGGGGGCAGTTGGGGTGACGAGGGGCAGCAGGCTCAGGGAACCCAGGGCAACGTGAATTCGCTGGCGGGTAGCGGAGAGCAGTGCGTCATCTCCACATTCTTCATGTACTTACGAGCCTGCACGCACACACACAAACGACACATACACAACCTTATACAACACACATAACACATATAACACAGACTCACACGACACACACGACATGTACACGATACACACAACAAAGATCCCCCCATGTAGCCATTAACAGACTTGTTGGGGAAAAGTGTTGTGAGCGAGTAGCAGGGCCTATGAAGGCCGGCACTGTGGCACACGAGGGGGGTGGCTGGCCAGCACCCACGCCCAGCAGCCTTTGAGGCTGAGTCGACCTTGGGGAGGCCAAGGAACGGTTCAGATAATAATCTTCGCCGGGGTTGGTCTTAAACGGGAATCCAACTCTGGTTGGCAGGTTCGTAGCGCGCTACCGTCCCCCACAAGGGTACAAAGACCAAGATCCCCCGTACAGCCTTTACAGACTGTGAGGGCGAGTGTTTTTAGTGAGCACCTATGAAGGCTGCCACACGAGGGGGTGGGGGTGGCCAGCACCACATTGGGGGAAGGACAACAAACGAACCACAACAAAAAGCAGTTCTAAAGAAATTAGTTTTCAATCTCGAATATTTAAAAGTGCATAGTGCCCAGTGGCTTCCTAATATCGGAAGGAAGAACGTTCCAGACGGCCGCAGAAGCGCATCTGAAAGCGCATGATGTGGTGACCGTGTTTGTTCGGTGGCTAGCCAAAAGTCGCTGCTTCGAGGACTGCTGGCATTCGAGGGATGGTTTATGTTCCTTGACAAGATGAGCAGGGTGTTGTGGGGCTCATTGTGGCAAACACTTTGTGTGTAATGAGTGCCACCTTCTAAAGTATTCCTTCGGCAACCAGAAGCCAATGTAGCTTGTCGAGCACCAGAGAGACATGGTCATATCTCACATATAGCGGGTCTCTGCTGTGTGCATGCTGTGTGCATGTACCCCACTTGCAGTGTGTGTGTGTGCTGTGTGCATGCTGTGTGTGCGTGCTGTGTGCATGCTGTGTGCATGTACCCCACTTGCAGTGTGTGTGTGCGTGCTGTGTGCATGCTGTGTGCATGCTGTGTGTGCGTAATGTGTGTGCGTGCTGTGTGCGTGCTGTGTGCGTGTACCCCACTTGCAGTGTGTGTGTGCTGTGTGCGTGCTGTGTGCGTGTGCCCCGCGTGCGTATGCTGTGTGCGTCCCGTGTTGCGTGCGTGCTGTGTGTGCATGCTGTGTGCGTGCTGTCTGCGTGCTGTGTGCGTGCTGTGTGCGTGCTGTCTGCGTGCTGTGTGCGTGCTGTGTGCGCGTGTTGTGCGCGTGCTGTGTGCGCGTGCTGTGTGCGTGCTGTGCGCGTGCTGTGTGCGCGTGTTGTGTGCGTGCTGTGTGCGTGCTGAGTGCGTGCTGTGTGTGTGCTGTGTGCGTGTGCTGTATGTGTGCGTGCTTGCTGTGTGTGCGTGCTGCATGCGTGCTGTGTGTGCGTGCTGTGTGCGTGCTGTCTGCGTGCTGTGTGCGTGCTGTGTGTGCTGTGTGTGTGTGTGCTGTGTGTGCGTGCTGTGTGCGTGCTGTGTGCGTGCTGTGTGTGCGTGCTGTGTGTGCGTGCTGTCTGCGTGCTGTGTGCGTGCTGTGTGCGTGCTGTGTGCGTGCTGTGTGTGCTGTGTGTGTGTGTGCTGTGTGTGCGTGCTGTGTGCGTGCTGTGTGTGCGTGCTGTGTGTGCGTGCTGTGTGCGCGTGCTGTGTGCGCGTGCTGTGTGTGTGCTGCGTGCTTGCTGTCTGTGCGCTGTGTGTGCGTGCTGTGTACGCGTGCTGCGTGCGTGCTATGTGTGCGCTGTGTGTGCGTGCTGTCTGTGTGCTGTGTGTGCTGTGTGTGTGTGCTGTGTGCGTGCGTGCTGTGTGTGCGTGCTGTGTGCATGCTGTGTGCGTGCTGTCTGTGCCCCGTGCGCTCTCTCACCAGGTACATGACCAGCTGCGTCTTCTGCTGTTCCGACAGCTCCTCCCCTGTGGCACAGAGACACACAGCACGGTCACGGGGGAGGCGGCCACAGACTCACGTACCCCCGAGACCCCCTGGCACCCTGAGACCCCGAGACCCCGAGGACTCGCCGGGCGGTGGCGGCACGCTCACCGCTCGTTGCAAGGGGTTCGCAGTTCAATTCCGGCAGGCCGTCCCGGTCATTACCACGGTGCGGTCATCATCAGCGTCATGATCACGATCCACGGGCAGGTAGCCCCATAGTAGTAGGTGGTGTCCCCTGCACATTTCGTCGCTAGTTGTTTCCCACTTTCCTCTCCCTGTCTTGTGCTCAGGCAGAGGCCACGTCTTTCTGGCAACCCCATCTCTCATGATGTCGTTGTCGTCAGGCCATTCGGCGGTGCGGTGGCGGAAACGTGAATTACGATTCTCCCTGCCATCCGCTTCGCGGTGAACGTTACAGATCCTGTGACGTCGTTTGGAAAGAGGAGCGTTGCCACTCTTGTTCGCGTGCCCGCCGGTGTCGCGGTCGAAATTGGCCAATTTGATGAATCGCCGACATGTGTGGGGAAGCGGTGGCGCAGCGGTTAGCGCCCTGGCGCCGACTTCGAGTTCCATTCCCGCCCGCAGAAAAAACATCAATGGCGAACAGTTGAGCAAGTCCTTGGCCTTCTGTAGGACTGGGGAGACAAAGGCGGCCGGGCTGTGGTGCTGGCCACCCACCCCCCGTGTGCCGTTCCGACCTTCATAGGTGCTGCTACTCGCTAACAGCACTTGCCCCAACAGTCTGTTATGGCTACGCGGGGGGATATCTTTGTCTGTGTGTGTGTGCAGGAGTTACCGATGGACCAGGGGTAGCCGGCAGGATGATCGTGGGCGTAGGACTTGAGAAGCGACGCGCACCACTCCTCATCCACGCGGTGTGCACTGTAGACAGTCACTGACAAAGGCAAAGACCCCCTGTATAGCCTCAGGAGACTGTTGGGGCAAGTGCTATTAGCGAGTAGCAGCACCTATGAAAGGTCGGCAAAACACACAAAGGGGGTGGGTGGCCAGCACCATGCCCGGCTGCCTACGTCTCCCCAGTGGCGATGTTATAACACACCACACCAGGTGTTCATTTGAGGCTGAGTCGACCCAGGGGAGGCCTAGCACCAGTTCACAAAAAATCGTCACCGGTGTTGGTGTTGGCCATGAGCAGGAATCAAACTCGGGATGACGGGTTCGTAGCGCAGCGCACTAACCACAATAGAACCGCTCCACACACGCACCACACACACACGCACCACACACACAGAGCTACACACAGAGTTATACACCCACCACACACAGAGTTACACACACACCATACACACTTCTGTCGAAAACAAACTCCCAACAAGTCACCAGCAGAGCGACCGTGGTGCTGGGAGACCCTTGGTTTATGAACGAACGTTCGGTTTACGTTAATTTCGCATGAGCGCAAATCACAAATTAGAGACAATTTTTGGTAAAATAAAATTGAATTTCCTTCCGGGTTCACAAAATTTCACTCCGGCACGTGCCACGGAATCACCAAACGAGAAGCCACCTGGGAGGCTGCATCATCCGTCTGCTACTGCGAAAATAAAGCTTCGTAGCTCATCAGATTCCTCCTCCAGGGTACATACAGATTCTGATCCGTGACAGGACCACGGTGCCCCTACAGTGCAACAGTAACGCCTCCACATCACTTTTGGCCCTTAAAAGGCTACAAAGTTTTTAATTAATTTTTATTAAATCGTTTTAATATTGAAATTATTGAATTATTATTTTCGTTTTGGGAAAATTGAAATAGGTGTATATTTTTAGGTTACTAGTTGGAATGTTCAAAACGCATCCCTAAATTAATGGGAAAAGCCGTTCCGATTCACGAAATTTCGTTTCACGCGCGTTGTCTCAAGAACGGCACACCTTTTGTAAACCGAGGGATACCGGTACTGGGAGACCCACAGACACGACCAGGAGACCCGTGCGTAACCAGAAGACCCACGCACTCGACCGGAAGAACACCGAGACGGGGATTGGTGTTGGTCTCAAGAGTGGCCGGCATGATGAGCATTGCATTAACTGTGCATCGAGTTCTGTGTGCGAGCTCCTGGACCACAGACTGGTAACGTGGGGCGCCATGATGGCCAGATGTGAATTACCCCGCCTGGTATACATGAGGTCGTGGGTTTGATCCCGACCCTGACAACGCCTGCTGCTGTGTATTTGGAGTGTGCGAGTCTCTCTCCCCGTGGCCGCGTTGAATTCTCTCAGTGTCCTCCGGTTTTTTCCCTCCACATTTATAATCAATGTAACGTGTTCAGAGTATTTGGCTGCTACAAATTTCCACATGATAAGCCACTTTGTTGAGCTATCATTTGTGATAGCCAGGTCGCTTATGAATGAAAGAGAGCTACATAGCTGCTAAAGTAAAAATAGTTATTTACGCAGCAAATCGCAGACAGAGTTTGAAAAGTGAAAATATTTTTGGGAAGGTGGCCGGGGCGTTCCAAGAGGGCAGAGACCCACGAAGCCGAGAGATTCAATGGCACTGCGGTGAGAGATGTGCAGTCTGCGTTCTCCTATAACGTGCTGGTAGTTGCGTTCCTGAGAAACACCGCGTTAAATGGGAAAATCGCGTTATAAATAAATAATATATACAATACAGGGGGCAAAGCACAGTCCGTGATAACACGTGGGATGCATACATAGGGCTGAACAAAGACCGAGGAGCTGTGGGTAGCATCTACAAGCATCCAGCAGCATCCTCGTGTGATGCGGCGCCAAGGCAGCCGTACGACCACTTATTCCTTCTCGCGCCACGGAGTTCCGTTTGCTCCATCGCATTATATCCAATTCGCATCCGCGTTATATATAAAAAACGTGTTCCCTAATACATTAATCGCGTTACATTAAATTTGCATTACGATGAAAACACACGGCGTTACAGGGGAACAGACTGCAGTTGTGAGATTGTTATTGGTTGGTGCTAGGAGATGGCGATGGGAGGCGCCGATTGGGGATGGTGGGAGGAGACGGCTTACCTTCGTTCACTGGGTCTCCCACAGCCAGCCACTGCCTCAGAGACTCCATGCTTTGCTTGGTCACCAATTTGGGATATCTGCACATTGAAGACAAATATCATCGGTCGATCAACAGACCATAGATGGTGAGCACCGATGAAGGCCAGCGCTGAGGGTTGGTGTTGCCAGCCTCCACGCCCTGCCGCCTGTCTCCCCAGCTACACACACAGCTATACACAGCTGCACATACACAGAGGCACACACAGCTACACGCACATGAAGACAAAGATCCCCCCCTATAGCCTTAAGAGACTTTTGGGGCAAGTGCTGTTCGCGAGTATGAAGGCCGGCACAGCACACGAGGGGGTGAGCGGCCAGCACCACTTCTGCTGCTTTATCTTCCCAAGTGCTGATGTTGACACACCGCACCAGGTACTCATTAAAGGCTGAGTCGACCTAGGGGAGGCCCAGGACCGATTCAGATAATCGTCACTGGTGTTGGAAGTGAGCGGGAATCGAACTTACTTGGCCGGGTTCGTAGTGCGTCGCACTAACTGCTGCACAACCGCTCCCCACTCGCACACAAACACACACCCACTTTGGACCATCATTATTGACAACTAAGGTATTTATTCAGTATGTATACTCCTATTTATTGTCGAAGAATATTTTTGGCAGAGGGTGTGTTTATTTCAATTACAATTTTTTTCGTTTAACACGTAGGCTTTCGCGACCCATATCATCCATAATGTAGTTTTTTTTTTAGTTAGATCGCGTATACAGATCACCATACGTCAATGGGGATTACCTGTACGCAGACAATCATAGGTACTGCTATTTTAGTGCACGCAAACGATAGGAGGTACAAGAACAATGTGCATGCATAATGTACGTTGATTACCATATGAATAACACAACCAGCAATGGATACCCATTGTAATTTATATGCATTTATTAATCCCCTCCCCCCTTCGCACGTGAAGGGCTCAAAAGTGACGTCATCACAGCTATCTCTCTATCCACAAATCTGGCTGCCGCCTGATGAAGCTCGTTGTATTTACTGGCGAAACGTCGTACTCGGATTGTAAATGTTGTGGCTTTGCTCTCCAACACACCGGTGGTGCTGTTACTTGTGTAATGCGGTTGTAAACGGCCCTTCTGAGGTGCCGTCAGGGGGGGAGGAGTTAGGTCACGTGGGGGGCAGAGGGGTTGAGTATAGAAGGAGGGGAACCGGAAGAGCAAGGGGAGTGACGGGGAACCAGGAACAGAGGAAGGCCACGAAGGGCGAAGCGGGGTGTGGCGAGATCGCCACGAACACGGGGGGAGCGAGGATCGGCACCGTTGGCCAGCGGTGACCGACCCGAAGCAGCGAGGAGGCTGCAGTCAGCAGCGGGGCTGCACAGAGAGGGTGGGCAGCGGGTCTGCATACAGTGACAGCCAGAGGGTCTGCACATAGGGGTAGCAGCAGGAGTCTGCATAGGGGTAGAAGCGAGTCTGCAGGGAGGAGGTTACAATAGATGAAGCAGAGAGTCAGAGGGGAGAGGAAGCTATAATAGCAGTGAATAGCCGGGGGCTACAAATACAGGAGTTATAACAGAGTGCCGTGTGGGTAAAGACGTGAACCTGAATAAAGACACGAAGACAGAAAGAAGTGTTCGAGTCCTTTTATTACACTGGAGTCAGAAGTGAAACGGCATGGCGAAACAACTGAGGAAGAAGAATATCCCATCTCCGGCGTCGGCTTCATCATCGGACGACGACGATCTTCCTCCTGAGGTCGGCTTCACTTCGGCGGAGGGAGAGATCCGTGAGGGCCCGGGTGTGGAGGAGGTTGCCGCTGCGTCCGACCCATCTGCGTTGAAGGACGAAGATTTAAGATGGACCCGGATGGCGGAGCAACTGGCGACCCTAAAAACCGTCATCACGGAGTTGTGTGACCTTGTCACGCCAAGGGCGGCGTTGGTAGGTGATGGTGGTGATCGGCAGGAGCCCGGGTCGTCTTCGATGGCGCCGCCATCGACCACGCGGCGTGAAGACGCCATCTTGGGCGTGGCGCACCACGGAAGGCGGGAAGCCGCCATTTTGGGGCCGCCACGAGGATCGTCCGCCATCTTGGCGACACCGCGTTGCGACGCCTTGCTGAACTTGCCGCCGGAAGAGTCGGTGACGGACGGAAGCAGGCCAAGGAGCCGCAGTCGTCACCTTACAACTGTTAAGGAGTTCTCCATCGGGGGCGATTGGAGTGCGTTCGCTTGTCGATTTTTGGCGGCGGTACGAACGGCAAGGTGGACGGACGCCGAGGCGCTGGAGGTGCTTCCGACTCTCCTTGACGATGAGTCTGTTCGTTTTTTTCGCTCTATAAAAGCTGCGAAGAAGAAAACATTGCGTGGAGTGTTCGACGAAATGGCGGACGCGTACGAGCCACCGGATGACGCCCATCGCCGCTTCGTGCAGCGGCAACGCGCACCGGAGGAGTCGCCTGTAGCGTACAGGGGCGCCGTGCTGGAACTCGCGATGGCCGCTTACCCGGAGACGGAGCCTGACCTGCTGGAACCTCTCATCTTGGGGAAGATGTTAGAGTTATCCCGGGATCTGGGCATTCCTATGCCGGCGTGCGGTCACGAGAAACTCACGTCCCGGACCGCGGCCAAGTGTTTGGACGCCCAGTTCAATCTCCGCCGCTGGAAACAAGTCACGGCGTGGACGGGCGGTCCTGTCGTCGATGGGGGGGCCGTAGGGTGGGACCCTACAAAGGCCGTGTACGTGCCGGATGCGACCGGCCCAAAGGAGCTGTCGGCCGCCTCCACTCCGTGGCCGGCTCGAAGCGGGCCGGGGCCGCGGGCTCCGCCGCCGGCGCGGCCACGTCGGGACGGGGTGCCTGCTGCGCGCCGACCCGACGTCGACTGTTTCCGTTGCGGCCGTCGGGGCCACTATGCCAGGGACTGCTGGGCCCGGGTTCCGGGGCCGCCCCAGCAGGAGGCCTCGATCGCGGACGTCCCAAAGAAAGACCCTCCGGCACAGGCAAGTCGGTGCGCACCAGACACCCGGCAAGGCCTGACACCTCACTCATCGCCGTTGTTGTGCGACGCGGATGTTCTAAAATATGGGAGGCCAGTATCTGCGCCTTGTCGCTCGATAACGCAGTGGCGTAAGTTGGCTCGGCGGGTTGTCGCGGCCGCTACAGGTTCGTCCACTGTACCGGGGTCGATCCAAGGGGTGGACGTGCGTATTTTGGTGGATTCCGGGGCGTCCGCGACCATTATTTCGGATGTTATATTTCATCTTTTGAACATCCCACCGGGGGCCGTGAGGCCGGCTTACGCTTCCTGCATCGCTGCGAACGGGGGTAGTATGGGCATCGTGGGACAGGTGGACGCTAATATTTCTATCGGGGGGGTCTCGGCCTCGGGCGTTGTGTTAATTTCGAGGTCCCTGGCGGTTCCTTGCTTGTTGGGCACGGATTTTTTGGCTAAGATGCCCATTCTAATTAGAATCAATGAAAATTGCATTGAACTACCAGGGGGCCGCAAATTGGCGTTTTTACAGTCCACCTGGGGGCGACCGGCTCCGGTTGCCCAGGTGCAGGCGTTATCGGAAGTTTCAGTTGATATTCCACCTGGCTCGCAGATGCTCATTCCCCTACGATACCGGAAGCCGGTTCCGGGTCGGCAGGGTGCTTGTGGAATTTTGCTGTCGCCGTCCGCCGCTGTTACGGGCGGATTGGCACTGGTGGGGGCGCAAACCATTGTCCGTCCGGATCAGCGCCCGTTTTTGCAGGTGTTAAATGCGAGTTCTGAAAGCGTGTGTGTGCCGGCTGGTACCGTTGTGGCACATGCCACTACGGCGTTTACGGCTCAGAGTGACATTCCGGACGGGGGGCTGGTGGGTGGTGTTTCACACGACGGAGGGGTGGACGATCGTTGGATCGCCGAATTATGTGCGGAAAATTCGGCCCTTTCCGCTGAGCAGCGTTGTGCGATTCATAAACTATTAGCGAGCTATTCCGATGTGTTTAGCTCGGACGATTTGGACTTGGGACGCACCTCGCTGCTCTCTCATCACATCGAAACGGGGGACGCGGCCCCTATCCGCTTGAACTCGCGTCGGATGAGTCCGGCTGAGCGTGAGCACGTTCGAGGGGCAGTGGAAGACATGTTGAAAGCGGATATTATATCTCCGTCTGATAGCCCGTGGGGCGCGCCTGTTGTGTTGGTTAAAAAGAAAGATGGTAAATTACGATTTTGTGTGGATTTTCGGAAGTTAAATAAAGTATCGGTGGCAGATGCGTATCCCCTGCCGCGTATGGACGATTCTCTCGACGCCTTGTCAGGGGCTAAGTTTTTTTCAACGCTAGATCTCTCTTCGGGCTTCTGGCAGCTTCCCCTTGACGAGCCCTCGCGGGAAAAGACAGCGTTCCGTACGCCGCAGGGGTTGTTCCAATTTAACTGTCTGCCGATGGGGTTGAATGCAGCCCCTGCCACCTTTCAGAGATTGATGGAGTTGGTATTGACGGGGTTGCAGTGGGAGACATGTCTCATTTATTTAGATGATATTATTGTCTTCAGCCGCACATTTGATGAGCATTTATTGCGGTTGGAGGCCGTTTTTGCCAGAATGCGTTCTGCTAATTTGAAATTCAAGCCTAAGAAATGTCATCTACTGCAACGTTCCGTTCGATACTTGGGACATATTGTTAGTGCGGACGGGGTGGCCACGGATCCAGAGAAAACTGCGTGTGTCCGGGATTGGGCAACCCCCGCCACGGTGGGTGATGTGCGTCGGTTTTTGGGGTTCGCCTCATATTACCGGAGGTTTGTTCCGAATTTCGCTACTATCGCCAGGCCTTTGCATCTCCTTACTGGGAAGGGGCACAAATTTGTGTGGGGACCGCCGGAGGAGGCGGCGTTTCGGAGCCTGCGCGACCTACTGGCTACTGCGCCGACGTTGGATTATCCGGATTTTGACCATCCCTTCATTCTGGATACTGATGCGAGTGACACCGGGATTGGGGCGGTGTTGTCCCAGTCAAAAGGTGGTGTTGAGCGTGTGGTGGCGTACGGGAGTCGGGTTTTGTCTCCCGCGGAAACTCGTTACTGCG